CTTTTTTCAGTGAACTTCTGTTGTTGTCTTGACTGTCTTGTTTCTTGCTACAAATGTGTGTATATGTTTTGGAAGGTTCTGAAGGCACAAAAGGCACAAACTGCAAGCAAAAAGGAAAATCACAGTGCTATATATTTAATTATTTACTTGCAACTTTTCTTATATGACATAACATTTTATACAGAGGCACCAAAGGCTCTAGGAAGACATGGATATATGGGTCCGAGCATCTCTTCAAAATACTATCTTGTATCTCATCGCCTAACAAAAAGGTCGCAAAAACTACAAGGTATCTGAAATCGCCCTCTGAAAAAGGAGCATATTTCATGAACTTTTCTCTATGAGCACAGAGTCTGCCTTGCTGAGCCCACTGGGGACTGGCAGTCACAGTTGATGTGGGAGCTCTGTACTTGAGCTGGGTTGAAGCTGAGCCCAAAATTGCAGTTTTTCTGAGTACGTCATCATAGGCACATCAGTACCGGGAGCTGCAGCCCGTCCCCAGAAGAGCGGGAGCTGCTTTCCTAACCCATGCCTTACACGAAGAGACTGCTCCTTTCCCATGGGCTGAGGGGTAAGGAGTCTGGGCACCAGGCAAGTGCTGAAAGCGTGCTGCAGGACTGTCAGCACTGGTGTGTTTTACCCAGCATACCTCACAGATGTGAGTTACTGCCCACGGAGAGCTGATAGCAAGGCTTGCCTCTGTACTCAATGGGAGGCCAGATAGCGTGTCTGTACACACCAGCTCAGGGGAATTTTTTTTCTCATCTGTGAGCAAGGGCACCAAATTGGTCTTTTTCATCACTGTCGTCACAACCTGTGCCTTTTATCTCGTTTCTTTTCCTCATTCTCACTCTTTCGCTATGATCAATATCTGACTGACTGCTCAAAATGCAAGTTTCTGTGTGCCTCTTCCTTGCCCTTTACTTATTGGTGCTAATCCCTAAATCCCTCCTCTATTGTTAGTTCCAAGTGATTCTGATATAGGGCCTGACCTCCATCTCTAGTCTCACTTTCTTCCTATTTGGTCTAATTGCCTCTGTTCTCACTATTTTGCCTACCTCTTGAAGCTCTTCCCCTCTCTCTCTGGTCCTTCCTCTTTTGTTTTTCCTTTTTTCTTTTTTCTTTTTTTTTCCCTTTCTTTCTTTCTTTTTTTTTTCCCCCTGGAAATTCCTCCGGCTCACTGGCTCTGGCAGCCCCTCAGCTGGGCTGTGGTTCATTTCAAGTCTCCAGCCCTTTCCTGTTTGAATTTTGCAGACCAGTGCTCCAGAGATGTGTTATGCGCTCTGGGGGCATGATTAAGGAGGAAGCCACAGAAGGCCAATCTATTTGAAGTGAGCAGCAGCCCTAAGTCCTACAGTAAGAAGTCCCCCGAGAAGTGTTGGGCCCTGGAGACCTTCCAGAACCGAGGACATTTTCAGAAGGAAATGGGGGTACGTGTTCAGCAGATCTGGGAGTGGGAAAGTCTGGAGCAGAGAGTATGAACAGGTACTCTTCAGGGAAGAGAAGGAAGGTGGAGGTGGTGTTGGGGGGTCATCTAACGTTTGCAGTGGCCTCAGAAACATGAGTCTTTTGGAATCCAAAGGAACATTCAGATTTCCAGGGTTTCAAACATCACCAGTTCTTGTGAGCAGTGCTGTGAGGTCACTTGACACCAGCCATTTTACAACTCTATTTCATGATACAGAATTTCTTAATCTGCAGTTTTCCATGCTGCAGGCTTGCCTGTGATATAGTTTATTTTCAACTGCACCTGTTTTTAGGAAGAATTTTTTTAAATTTATTTTTATAAATTACTAGTTTTGCCCATGATCAATAGTATTAGCTGTGTTTTCCTTGAGAGTAACCTTATGCTTTCCAATGGAGTGTGATCCGTGTATTGGGCACATGACCTTGTTGTTCTCATGAAAAGTCTGCTAGATGTGGCCAAGTTCTGAGTGATAGCATTCACATTACAATTACAATTTTGTTTTGTTTTGGTTTTGAGTTCAGCAGCTAGTATCTCACAATTATGCACCGCCACTGAGCGTACCTCTTGCCGCCCCTGGTGAGCAGACTGAACACAGAGTGACTCCTGCGGTCCAGAGCAAAGCTCGACTTCTATGTAGCGGTTGCTGTACCCACTGTTGTCCGTCAGTGCAGCGGTGAGCACTGTAATTGACAGCAGTCGTTAATGAGCCTTCTGGCAATGCCGAGGAGGAAAACCTCCTGCCTTGCATGCAGAGGAGACAAGAAACAGGAGGGGATGGAGAGAGAAAGTACTTGACTGGGACAAGGAGTCTGGGACAGGAGAAAGGAACAGAAAGAAATTGGGACGGGGATTTGGCAGAGCAGTCCTCTGCATGGGCCAAGCGCTGTTCCCTAGCAATGCAGTGTCTGAAAGGCAGAAGTTCAGTGGTTCATGTAAGGAAATAGAGGCCAGGATCCTGGGTGGGGATGACAGTGAAGCACTGGCTGTTGACAGCGAAGAGTGAGAATTTGGAACAAGGTGCAAGTCAGGGCTTTTGCTGGTCACTGATAACATGACTGATACTGTTGTTATACGATAACCAGAAATTGCCTCACTCAATTAAAATGTGGATTTTATTTTTACAAAAAAAAAAAAAGACTTCGCTGCATTTTTTCACTCTGTTTACCCTGTGTTTTCTCACGTCCTTTTCTTGACTGTGTTCAGTGTCTTTTTGATGTTTTCAGCTCCCATCTCATTTTAGTTCTGCTCTTATTGGTGGGTGTAATTTCAAAAGTTGCTGGCTGTAGTAGCAAAACCCTTTGAAGAAGCTCCCACTGTTTGTACTCATGCCTGTGCCAGCACATTTGTGTTTGGCATCTTCCTGTTTCTGGAAATGCAGCTCTTTGATTGGGTTAAATTATAAACCATGTTAAAAAAATCATCGTGAATGATATTTTTCTTTCTTACTTCTTTCCTTTTTTTCTTTTTTTTTTTTAATTTCAGAGATCTGGTTGACGGTGCAGATCATGCAGGTCTGCAAATAACTTTGCTAGCTTCACTGGCAAACCAGAGCACATAGCTAGGATAACTGGCTAAGGCATGGAGAGAAATGAAGGATGGAGGAAGCAGGAATTTATTTCAGCTGACTTCACGGCCTGATCCAGCATCCCATGGCACTAAATCCTGAGCTCTATTCAGAATAACAATGGCACATTTTCTCTCTGCATCTTCTCGTTGGGTTGTAAAGTTTCAATTATATAATCTCAAATATATTCAGAAAGTAGGCATCAAAATTACATTTTAAGTGTGTTTCTATGAATTTTAGTTAGGTAAATTATCTTGGGCCTCTTCGGTGTGATGGTGGAAAGATTATTTATCTGAAATGACTCATCTGGGTGAACTCATCCACATGGAAGAAGAGTTTTTTTCTCCCCGAAGTTCACTTGAGTTAACATTCCAGTTAACTTGTTTCTCAGTTGTCCCCTGAGTCAGAGTTATTACAGCTACACTTTTTCTGTAGAACTGGCTCAGCTGTACGGCAAGTAGCTGCAGGATTTTTCCTTTCTTATCACAGTATCATAAAACTAGAAAATACTAGACTACCATTTATTTCACTTTTCTCCTTTTAGGCCAGTATGTTGATCATATTCTTGCGCAAAGGGTTAAAGGGATGGCCTAGTGGAAAGTCGGATTCTGACCCAATTTCCAAATTGTAAACATTAGCAGAAAATAGTAGAGAAGAGTCTTTCACTGGTCTTTCTTGCAGCTTCCAGAGTCTTCAGCTTTGTTTCCTGAGCTCTATCTGGGCTAGTCCCGTTTGTCCCCAGGCCCAGGCAGATCTTTTGCTAGCCAAGCTAGAATTCAGGCTCCTCACAGCAAACTTGTCTACTTTCCTTATACATGGGGTTGTCTTCTCTGTTCTTGTTCCATTGCCTTTTTCTGAGGTGCTACCATGAGTCCTTCCTTGGCTCAATATCCAGGAAGATATTCTAAGAAACATGCTGAACAAACTAATATACTAAAGAAACTAAGAATACAATTGAGCACTCATGCTCAGTCTTCTTTGTTCTCTTCTTGTTGTGTGAGGAAATATATGTCTTTAACCTGTAAAAGAATCTGAGCACCCTTGCCATTGGAAAATGTGTAGAAATAATAGTTTTAGAGCATTTCATTTAACTCGGGAGTCTCCAGTACTCCCAGTAAAACTCCTGTGAATTACATTCCTGACATTTCTTTGCACAGAACTTGTAGAATGCAATTGTTTAGGTTTAAAATGAAAGAAAGCTTATTCACTGCAGCCTGTGTTTAAGAAAAGTTATAAACTGCAAGTGATTAATTTATTAATGGGGGAAGAATATACCTCTATCTTCTATGAAATATGGCAAGTTTTTGCGCTCCTCGTGTTCCAAACAAGGGATAATTGTGAACAAGTATTTTAATAGATATAACTTCTAGTTGGTGGTGCTTGAATAAGACATATTTCTGTAATAAAGCTTTCTTCAGGAGTGCAGAATAAAATCTGCAGAACATGCTTTTCTCCTGAGGATATCATTCACAAACTTCTTGCTCCTGGCCAAAGCAAGGGTTTACCAAATGTAGAATTAGTGTGGCTACAGACAGTTAAGTTCCCTAGTGCACAAGAGCAATAGCATCAATGGCAAAAGTGCAAATATGGAAGTTTCTATTTGTTGCTTTATAGTTTTAAACGCAAGTTGGAAAAGATTAATGTATCTCTGACATGTCCTAGAAGATTGGAATTCTGAGAAAGGAGACTGAAGCCAGAAACAGAGCCTCCTGGTGCGAACGGCCCGGGTGTGAAGATGGACCTCTTGTTTCCATGGGGGTGATGCTGATTGCTTGCTGCAGACAGGCATTTCACTGTGCCGGTTGCTTTGGAGAGCGCGGCGAGGCAGCTCCGTGAGGCACGTGGAGAGGCCGCGCGCGTCTCCGGGTGCCCGTGAGCGCGGGCAGCCCCGCGGCCTGCGTGCGCAGGGCCCCTGCTGCACCGGCAGCTTCTGTCCCGGCCTGGCTGGCATCCTTTGATTACCCTTACAAAGGATAATCCACTGATGAGAGCTCTTTCCGTTCCCAAATTCTCTCCTTCATATACTTTTCTTCAAATAGCCTCTCTTCCTTTCTGCAGCCCACGTGCCTGTTCTTCACCATTCACCCTTCTGCTGCTGTGAAGATTGTCTCTCCCTCTCTTTCTGTTATCACTCCTCGCCTTTCTTCATTTCACAAGAGCTCCTCTCCACAACCTGCTCGTGGGACATTTTTCTCTGTCCTCACCTCTGCTTGTTGTGAAAAGCAGGGCCGTTGCTGAAGGTTTTCACAGATGATGATGACCAATGCTATGACAGCATTGCTGAGAGATCCTCACCAAGGCATGGCATCTTTGCTACAGGCACTCGTCACAGTAACTGGCCTGTGTTCCAAGTGTGGAGTCCTGTTGTGTGTCACAGCAATAGTGGTCTTTAACACAGCGATGTGGAAACCATCGCTGGAGGACACAACCGGTGAGGTGTAAAGGAAGGGTCTGCATGTGTCTGCTCACAATCCAGGCAGCATCTTTTTCCCTAGACAGTTCTGGGAATGTTGTGTTTTACATAGGGCTCCTACATGGCCATTTGTCCTCACCCATGCATTCATTGTCTGAACAGTAGTGCCTGGAGAATGATAATTAGTCACAAATGGAATTAATACATTCATAGTCACAACCATCATCCAGGTCTTACATTTGTCTAAGTTTTTAGATATTGAGCTACAAATATTTTTTGGATGGCCATTACCAACCAAAATAATAGACCTTCTATTTCTTCTTGTTGTACAGAAACAGTAAAGAGAACAGAATAGGAAGGAGAAAAGAGGAGAAAATAGCGGAAATGGGAATTTTCCCTTCCCTTAAAAAATTATATAGCAAAATTAAGGTTAAAAAAGTTAAGGCCTGATCAGAATTAATGATGAAAGAGGCATCTTTTATAACTGATAATAATAGTATGTGACTTCATTATGTGGGTTATATATGATTTATGATCTTTCTAAGTATTAATTTCCTTGCTGTTAAATGCTCCAGCTTTGTAAATGATGTGATACTGACAATAGCCTATATTTTCTTGGTGGCTTAAATGCTCTTTTAGAATGAAAGTGATTTTGGTTTGGATTTATATTGTGCGTGATGCAAACGACAGTTTTTCCCACCTTGCTGTGCTGTTAGGAAATTAAACTCCTACAGTTCATGAGGAAATCAGATTGCTCCTGGAAAGGTTTCACTCATTCTGGAAGAAATATGAAGTGCTGGTTCTAAATAACTCTCTGTCCCATGATTCCTCAATTGTACAGCTAACTCACAGGCATACAATTATGTTTTAAAATTTGTGATTCAGTAACTGAGCATTTACAGAAGCAAGTGAGAGCATTTGCCATGATAACTGTTAAAAGTTTGGCACTTCTTTGTTGCCCTTTGAGTCTCTTTTTGTGTTAGTAAAATGCAGATTATTGCAAAAGGAATATAGTAGAGATACTTATTTAAAATACAGAATGCATGTTGCTGATAATTAGCAGTACCAAAAATCTCTGGTACTTTAAATCATCAGTGGAGATCTAACCTTTGTACATTGGAAGGCTGTAACCTTCTGTATCCTGAAGAATTATTTTCTAGCTGAGGGTTATGGACATGTATAATATTATTTTAAATATTATTATTTGCTGAAATACAAGAAGGGATTTGTTTTTGTCAGTTTTGTGGATTGGTAATCCAGTTCACCATGCAAGAAGTCTATGAATAGTATATAGGTTATTATTTAGGTATGATCCACCAGCTCATAAATTTCCCAGAACCTGACTCCCATAAGAGTCACATGGACGCAACAATATCATGCTCCCAGATGCACAATATGAATGTGACATTTAAAAGCTGGATTTTTTAAACCTTTACCCAGCCAATAAATTTTATCTAAATGTTCTGGGATTGATGCTTTGGGCAAGGCGTGTGCCACCTGGAGAGACAACAGCTTAAAATGTTCAATGCATACTAGCTCTCCTTGAGAAATAAAAAGACTGCAGGCTTTCTCAAGACCTCCTTCCAACCAGAAGGGTCATGCTTGTATGATCGGCAACTGAAACAATACCCTCTGATTTACATGATCGGCTGCAAACTGCCAACACAATGGATTTTGGCATGTCTTGTGTCAGTTAGTTCACTTTTTACTTCGTCTGCCTATCCATAAAGGAAACTGAACCAGAGAAAACATAATCACTCCCAGCACTCAAAGAATGACAAAGTTCCAGCGAAGCAGAGGAACACCGCAACATGCAAGGGTAAGGACAGTGTCCTGTGCTTGCTCAGTAAATTATATTTGGAGTTACACGCTCGTCTCCAGTTCCGACTGTTTTTCTGATGAAGTCCACAGCTGTGTATCACTGTCTGTTGTCGTCAGAAGAAATATTCTAGCTTTACATCAGTGTAATAGAGAACAGGATCTGGCTAGCAAAATCAGCACAGTCTGCCTTCAGTGTATCTAGGCAAGAGCACTGGTTCATGCTGTGCAGTGCCAGCTGAGTATGTTCAGGCCAGGTCCAAATGTGTATTTTTTGAGAGGTACTTTATTCCCAATTTAGATTCTCTAGCTGCACAGACAAATTTAGTTAACTTGGCTGTGAAACGGTCTCGAGATGACAAAGATGATGCAACCATTTATGAGTAATTGTGCTACAGGAAATGATGTTTGAACACTGTTGCATGCATTAGCAGAACAAGAATTCCTCCTGCAACGGAACATGCTTTGTTAATGTCCTCAGCACCAGTAATATCGCAGGTGAAGACCGAACGGGAAACCTTGCAACATAAACAAAGAAAACAATATAATACAACTGGCAGGCTTTTCATCTCTGACGTCACAGAGAAATAGTGTCAGGATGAGACATTAACACATGGAGGCCAGCTGTAGCAACTACAAATTTCAAGGAAACTTGTTCTTACATAATGAAATCCATTCATAAGGAGTAGCACAGCAACTTGGAGAGACCTGATAAAACTCAGAAGAGATTACCAGATTTATTCTTGGAAAGGCAAGAAAGTGAAGCTCAAAGCCGGACAGACTCAAAAAATGATGAAAATGTGACTGTTAATTCAAAAGTTCTATCTCCAGATGTTCAAAGAACTGATTTTTTAAAAATATAGTATGTTATATAATATGTTGGAAAACCAGCTGTACGTAGGACAACAAAGACAAAATCAGAAGACCAGTTAGGTTCAGAAAAACAGCAGGACATTCCATGAAAATAGGAAGGGAAGTAAACTGTTGAAACTATCTGAGCAGAACTGTGGCTTTGCCATGAACTCTGTATAAAGAAGCTGTGCTGCTGCAGTGCTCTCGTGACTTGAGGAAATGGTAACTTACATAAAGAGGATACGGGGCTGGGTTTGAACCAAGTGCAGCATATAGTACCTCAAGGCAATAGCGTGGCTAAAAACAAGGCATATTTGATGGGTGACATGACATTGCTCTTTGCCCTTCCCTATTCATGTGCCTTGGGAAGAGGACGTGGAAATGACAAGGTGCAACCTGAGGTCATTTTGTAACCGTGTTATGGAGATAGAGGAGCAGCCTCTCATACCTGCCACACTTGCCTGATTAGAACTGTGCATTGGAAACACAGAGCAAAGATTTTCCAGCTGTTACAGCCCCTGTAGTCATTCCATTACACTGGAAGCCTCTTGTAACATTATTCGCTTTGTTTATCTGAATACCTAGAGGTTAGAACTAGCGGAAGTGCTTATTATGTTTTAGAAAGAACAAGTTGAAAGCTTACTCTACCTCTTTAAAACATTTACAGTAAACTGTTGTCCTTAATTGGTTGTCAAAGTAGCATAAATGTTTAAATCATTTGAAGTCCTTAATAAAGCCTAATTAAAGGTAAAATCATTGTTCTAAGCATGTCACATGGGCTTTTGCTATAGATCAACTGGAATCAAGATTTGACCTCAAACTTTTAGGAAGTACTTAATAAAATGAGTCTCATTAATGTCAAACAGCTTGATTAGGGACCTGATTAAAAGCCATTTGACATTAATGAGACTCATTTTATTAAGGGCTTTTAAAATTTGGCCCAAACACAGATGCAGGTCAGCTTAAAAAAAACTATATATGTGTGCAATGTGTGTTTGTCTATCTATTTGTGCAGCTGATCTACACAGCTGACAGAATATGGAAACCGCAGATATATGAAAGATAGCTTAAAACTCACCTTTAAACTCTGTCAGGTTTTTCTGCAAACCTTAAATTCTTGTCCTGCTTGATCTTATACTAGCCAAAATTTCTCTCAAAAGATAGGTCCAGATCCCCAAATAGGTACGATGTACAACTGTTCATGCAACGTATTGTTTTGCTACTACAGCCTCATAAGGGGACTGAGTAGCGAAATTTGAACCTTTCTGGATCTGCGTCTTCTAGCAAGACATTACAAAAGGGCTGTACTGTGCTAAAGATTTTGACAGTGTGAGTACAGCAGCTCTTCGTCAGACCCTCAAATTAGAATATTCTTTTCATATTTGGATGCACATGTATCCCCTGTCTGTGAGCTATGAGGGAGTGTACAAGGCAACAAACGTGCACACATATGTAAAGGATATATTTCTGCAGTCCTAGAACCAGAACTAACAAATAATGAAATGAATTCTGTCTAATCTCATAAGTATCTTCACCTTCTCCTGATGTCTACAAAAAAAAAATTGCCAAAAGGCAAATTTTTCAAAGGCTCACAACAAATTGTTGCTTAAAGTGTTTCGCAAACTTACGTTTGCTGCTAAATGAGCTCTCATATGAAACTAAGTAGTCCCCTGGGAAAAGGAAAGACCTGAGCCATCACGGTTGTGTCAAGAATATGACTGGTTTGTTCTGAAAGTTTAGCTGGAACTGAAAAACACATTTGGTATGCTAGCAGCTCCTGTCATGTTGCTGTGTGATATTTTTCAGGGATGGTAAATTATCGGACTCCATTTTGTTTGTGTGTGTAGAAGCTATCACTTATTCATGTATAAAAGTTTGTAAAGATATCCACATGACCTTGAAGCCTACCATGAGTCTGATATTCCTGTCTGTTGCTTTTGTAGGCTATTTCTGGGTAGCAAATCAGAAAAAGCATGAGTAGAAAGGCCTTGGAGACCA